AGGGGGCGGGGCTGTGGGCAGGGTCTGGATAGAGGGGGCGTGTCTCTGGGATCAGAGGGCGGGGCTGTGGGTGTGGTCAGGACAGAGGGGCATGTCTCTGGGATCAGGGAGCGGGGCTGTGGGTGGGGTCTGAATAGGGGTGTGTGTCTGTGGGATGAGGGGGCGGGGCTGTGGGCAGGGTCTGGATAGAGGGGGCGTGTCTCTGGGATCAGAGGGCGGGGCTGTGGGTGTGGTCAGGACAGAGGGGCATGTCTCTGGGATCAGGGAGCGGGGCTGTGGGTGGGGTCTGAATAGGGGTGTGTGTCTGTGGGATGAGGGGGCGGGGCTGTGGGCAGGGTCTGGATAGAGGGGGCGTGTCTCTGGGATCAGAGGGCGGGGCTGTGGGTGTGGTCAGGACAGAGGGGCATGTCTCTGGGATCAGGGAGCGGGGCTGTGGGTGGGGTCTGAATAGGGGTGTGTGTCTCTGGGATCAGGGGGCGGGGCTGTGGGCAGGGTCTGGATAGAGGGGGCGTGTCTCTGGGATCAGGGGTGGGGCTGTGGGTTGTTCACTCCTCCTGCTCTGGGATGGGGGGTTGTCTCTCGGGCAGGGGGCCCGTCCCCTGGTGCGGAGACCTCACCCCTTTCTCCCACCCCTTACAGCTCTGCCCCTCGTCACCCTGGACCCGGCCACCAACCACCCCAACCTGCTGCTGTCTCCCGACCGGCTCGCCGTCCGGCTGGTGGACGAGCCCCAGGAGGAGGCGCCCGAGGGGCCCGAACGTTTCAGCAAGAGCGTGTGCGTGTTGGGCTCGGCCGGCTTCACCTCGGGCCGCCACTACTGGGAGGTGGAGGTGGGGGACAAAACCAGTTGGGATATCGGCCTGGCTCGGGCCTCGGTCAACCGGCAGGAGGCCAAGGTGATGCTCAAGCCGGCCAACGGCTACTGGGCCGTCTGGCTCCGCCACGGAGCTGACTACAAGGCCCTGGACTCCCCCTCCCGGCACCTGGCGCTCCAGGCCAAGCCCCGGCGGGTCGGGGTGTATCTGGACTACGAGGGGGGGCAGGTGTCGTTCTACGACGCGGCCGCCATGACCCACCTCTACACCTTCTCCGACGCCTTCGCCGAGCCCCTCTACCCCATGCTCGGCCCCGGGGTCAACAGGGACGGGCTCAACGCAGAGCCCCTGCGGCTGGTGGAGCTATAGCTGAGGGGGGGGACCTGGGACGGGGCACCGATGCCCCAGTGTGGCGCTGGGGGGTGCCGTGCTGCAGGGAGTGGGCGGGGGCTCAGCAGGGGGCACTAGGCTGCAGGGAATGGGCGGGGGCTCAGGAGGGGGCGCTGGGGAGCAGGGAGCGGGC